ACTCGTAATATAATATACGATCAATAATAACACGTCATTTCTTATTATTAAGAAAAATGAGGAGTCTTCGTGGTTAGGGCATGAGGAGTCTTCATTAGGGCGTGGTACTACATATATAATAGGTAATCAGGGTATTAAAAAAGAATTTGTTGTAATGATTCACTGAGACATACTTTATAAAAAATGATTCTCAGACCTATCTGTTAAGCATATTTTTCAAAATAAAGCTATTAATTTCTTAAAGTAGTGCTTAAAATAGGTCATATTTCAGACCATCAATGACCTTAATTATTTTATTATAAAAAGTAGACCTAACAAGTGAGTTTGAATATCATTACTCTTTAAACTTTATTCTTTGTGTTGTATTAATGACATAATATTATTAACTGATTAAATACTAACATAACCGTAAGTTTCACATAAAATCTTTTTACTTATATAAAAATATTTAATTGGTTGTTGACAGTGATAAGTAGGATTATGACTGCTATAATAAAGTTCAATCTCTAATTTATCAACACATTAACAGGTGCTCCAGGTTAAAGAAAAGTTGTCCAAACACAACAGGCTACAAAGCTGAACTTCCTTAGCTTTGATTTGCCATTATTGATGGCATTGATTGGATTTTTATCAAACGGTTCACAATCACTATCGAGTGATGAATTATATATCAGTCCAGTGGCTTTAATTTGAATTATGGTAGTGTCCTAACTCCTAAGTAAGTAGGTACTAGTACTAGTCTTTATGGTGATAATGCATGCCTAACTAAATTAGAGGTGTGAAATAGGAGAATTTTGAGATGATCTGTGTTTGTCATCCCCATCACTTTGACAAGGTTGTACTTGTACTTATCACGGTCACCAAACAGAAAATTAGGTCCATGACAGGAGCTTCCGATGATCAATTTGATGCCAGTTGTCCATACTCAACATCATTATTGAAGAAGACCTGACAATATGAAAGACTTATACTAGTCTGCTTTTTTAAGGTCCCAATAGCTTTACTATATCAGCACTTGGTCAAGAACTAGTTTGATTCTGCGCAATATTAGTTACCACCAGGATTTCTACCATATATATGTATATAAAAGAAAAAGGGTTTCCTCCTTTTTTTTATTTTTTTATTTTTACTTCCAAATTTATATTTATATTTTTAAAAGTTCAAGCAAATACGTACAAACTCACAATGTTACTTCTAACAAGATTTCAACATTTGGACATTCCTTTAGAACCAGAGATAATATCATCATGATTAATGCCCACTGATCTCGAAAACTAATTTCCCACTTCACCAATTTTTTTGTGGAAAACCTCGATGCCCATATGTATATTTGAGAGAGAAGAATGAAACCACTTCAATAAAAGGTAAAATGTTTTTGTATGCGTGGAGTGAAAATTTCCTGCCAATAAAACCAAGCCACCTGCACTACAGGATGACAAATGGGAGAGTGACACCCGACAATCTCCACATCAGCAATTAACCACATGTGTGACAAGTTAAATGCTGACCAAGTGAAATTCATAACACAACCATGGACTTACTTGGTTTGTAATTATGGAAATAGTTTTTTGTTCTCGAAAAATTAAAAACATAAAATTGTACAAAAAATACTTGGTTCAATTTTTTGAAAACTGTTTTGTGAAAACTCAATTATAAAAAGTCCTATTTTTAGATAACAATCTTTTATAGTTCTCTAAAAACTGTTCTTTATTTTCTGAGTTTCGGATAACTGTTTTCAAAATTACAAATCAAGCATGCCGCAAATCTCACAATACTTGCACCAACGGGAGGAATATCGGCAAGTCTCATCCCGCACAATCAGCAATTAGAATTCCAAATCCCGTGTAATATCGAGGAGGAAAATATAGTTTATCAGTTGAAAAATTGATGTATAAATATATGAAGAAGCAATATGAAAAAGATAAACAAAAACAGGGAGAGAAATCCTCATCGGAACTACATTCGACTTGATTCCCACACACTTCATGTAATCGAGATACGTAGGCAATCCTATGTTCGATCACACCATCTAGACATTCATAATTTTTGCTTTATTTTTTAGTGTAATTAGTGTAAGATTGTTATGTTCTTGCACATGCAAAATTTTGCAACTGTACACTATTTCTAATAACTTCAGCTAACTTTTACAAGAATATGATGATTAGTATGATACTATAGTAGGCAAGGTTATGAGCTCAAAAATCACCATCACCGTGTAATTACAATTGAAATAATAACATTAACATATTGAGCTAGAAGGAAAATAATGTAAAAAATTATATATATTAGTTATGAGAGAAAAATTTAGGCCGTTGTCTAAGGTCCCAATTTTTTTTTCCTTTTATATATTATAACCTTCCTTCAAAAATTTATTTCTTTCTATTAATAGACCTCAATCAATAGACAAATTTAATAGAATTTCTATCATAGAATTTCAATCCTTATTTCACCTTCTATCTTTTTTTCTTTTCTCTCTCTCTCCTTCTTATTACACCACTAAGTAATATATATATATATATATATATATATATATATATATATATATATATATATCACCATCACCGTGTAATTACAATTGAAATAATAACATTAACATATTGAGCTAGAAGGAAAATAATGTTAAAAATTATATATATTAGTTATGAGAGAAAAAGTCTTAGGCCCTTGTCTAGGGTCCCAATTTTTTTTTCCTTTTATATATTATAACCTTCCTTAAAAAATTTATTTCCTTCTACTAATAGACCTCAATCAATAGACAAATTTAATAGAATTTCTATCATAGAATTTCAATCCTTATTTCACCTTCTATCTTTTTTTCTTTTCTCTCTCTCTCCTTCTTATTACACCACTAAGTAATATTCAATATATATATATATATATATATATATATATATATTTCTTCTCATGATCATTACATTAGCCATAATTATTAAATATATAATTTTTCTTCTGATACTCCTATTGACTTTTATCCTCTCGTTTTTTTCTTATCCCTCATATATGTTCTAGAATTAAAAAAATTAAAATAAATTTTACAAATATAAATAAACACTCTAATTGAAATGTTAATTACATAAAAGGACTAACTTCTTTAGCAAATGCATGGATTACTTACAAGATACCATTGACAAAACATGTAATTATTGTTGTAGTCGAAATAATTTTTTCAAAATTAAAGTTGATAATATCAAATTTAAAATCAACTATGTCACAAGAAAGATTAATTGGATTGATTATATTATCCATAAAAAAAGTTATTTTATGAAAACTTGAATACAAGAATTTGTATCTCAAAAAGTAATAATGATAATTTTTAAACAAAAGTTATATTAACTATTTGATATTAATTTATTACATCCTAAAAGATTACTTTTATTTTTTATTTTTACTTAAGACTTCAAATTATATTGAGTGTCTTTAATTGTCCTTTTTCCAAACGACGTATACATAACTGCCATCAATTTTCTCCGTTTGGGAGTTCACATGAACTCGTCATATCTTGCAACCATTGAAATTTAATTGTCAATATTTTGTATTCTCTACATTTAAAAATTAAAAATAAAACAGTATCAAGAAACTCTCTCAATCGAATAAATAGAAATGATATGCTAATAAACTGTTCTCATTACTATTTTCTTTTTGCCAATAAAAAAATAAAAAGATGATTCACCCAAGTCGATGCAAATTATTATTATTTTTTGGCTGGCACCGGAACTCACCTAGGCAGGGTCCCTTCAGAACTCACCCCAGGCTATAAACCGGGGATGCTGTCGACAGACCCATACCTCAGTAATTGTTTCAGTCGAGGGTTATAATGACGATGAACGGATTCGAACTTGAAACCAGTCAAGTCCCGTCGATGCAAATGAATTTTAATGCTTCCTATACAAGTGAAATTTTGTTTGGTGAAAGAAAGTAAATAAAGACTAAATCTGACCAATTTTCGAAACATGTGGATATTATTTGGCATTGTTTAAGTTGAACAATAACAAGTAACGCCCGCTGACGCGTTAGACATTAAACATTCAAATCCTCTGCTACACTACCGTATATCATGTTCTACACTTTAATCTTATTAAACTTATAAATAATAAAATATGGATTAAGTTTTAATATTTAGACCGACTGGTTAATTATATTATCAAAGTGAAATAATTATGAGCGACTTACTAATTAGACCTGAATATCATTTTTCATTTTACAATGTTTATTCATGTTAATATTTTGAAATCTAGCGTATAAGATTTTCCAACTCCACCACTTACTCGTGCAAAGATACTTAACTAGCGTCATTTTTTAATTTTAAAATGTCTATCTACGTCAATATTTCGAAACGATACCAATTAATTTAGCGTATAAGATTTTCTAACTCTACCACTGACCCGTGCAACGGTACAACTTGGGATAATTTTATGTGTTATGTTAAATCCCAAGCACAAGTACCTTTATTCAATTCATTTTTTCAAATGTTAAATATTCTTTACATATTTGTTTACAATATTTGAACATCTCACATACGAGAAGGCTTATGAACTTTTAAATGCGTACCTATTCAGTTAAGCAACTTACACACAACTTTTCCCAATGTCGGCCAAATACTATAATTGTAACAAACGTATTTTTTTTCTTAACGATCATTAATTAATGAAGCTATTAAGAGTAGATCATTTGTTTATCAACTAACCCTAAAAAATTGGAGTAAGCATACAAGTATTAATAATAATCTATGCATGTATATGTATATGTATAGTCTGTATATGTAGATGGAAAATATCGAGGAACTAGAAAATCTCTCTCATTTGCAGTAGAACTAGTACAATGAATATGTCCCTAAGCGAGACCCATCAGCAATAAAGACAATAAATGTCACTGGTCCCCACACTGATTTGACCACCCAGAGTTCCCCAACCGTCGATCACATATAAACTTTCGTATCCAACGGTCGAAGATCGAGGATGACACACTCCTGAGAAGGAGAGATTTAAAGACTCCGCATGAAGCGCTAGACACTCCGAGAATACCTCACTCAAAGTCACTTCTTCTCAACTACCGAGGTGTTTCTCTCTCTCTATATTTCTCTCTCTACAGTCGAAGGAGATCACTACAGCTTTAGCTCTGCTGTTCTTGCCCCCACTCTGTCCCTCCCTCTTTCTCTCTCTAACTCTCTCTATCTACAGTTTTGTCTATACTTTACGGCTCTCGCTTTCGGAGTACTATACTACTATCTCTCTCATCCAATGTGATTTAATTCGACTATCGATCTTCAAATGCGGAGTCTTTGATCATAGTGAGTAGCGAATTGGGTGGAGCTAGGGTTTGTGAGCTCTTGAAATCGACTTGGATTTTGAAATGAGGAATTTGGGTACGGGTTGGAATTTGGATTGGGATCGGGTCGGGTGTTGAGATGGATCCGCCGGCGCTGATCAACGAGGGTGCGTTTCAGTTTGCGAGTTTGGCGGAGATCTGGCCGTTTCCGATCAACGGCGGCGGTGCCGGTGGTGGTGGATCCGGAGGAGGTTTGGACTTGAGAAGCGTTGAGTTTGGGCGGATTTTGGGTCAGCTTGCGGATGATTTGAATTCGATTCGAGACGGTTCTTCTGGTGATGATCCGATGGTTTTGGACCAGAGAGGGGCTTATGATGCCGGTGTGACGAAGCGGCGTGATGAGGATGAGTCGGTCAAGGTTGTCTCGACGAGCAATGGCAATGGCAGTGGCGTGGTACTATATCTGTTATACGTGTGTGTGTGTGTATATATATACATATACGTGTTTTTACATATATACTTGTGTATGTGTATGTCTAGAATCAGAACACCTTCTATTTTGCTCCTGTTGATCTTTGATTTTCAACTTATTAGTTCTGCAATGTTGTTCCATGAAGATATATATATATATATATATATATATATAGAAGATATGAATTTTACCTAGCCATTTATCTGAGGTGCTATGTTATATTTGAACTCGAATTTTCCCGGGTAACGATATTGGTTGTTTCATGCTGTTGGTGAATTTCACCTCTATAATAGTGAAATTTAATATATTCATATTCACTTATTTATGAAATTTCATTGTTATAGTGGGGAAATTCACCATTGAAAGCCGCGAAATTCACAACTGCGCAGAATAGCAGAGAATTTTACCGGAGAGAAATTTGATTCATTATGTTTTTGGGAATGTTTTGGGCAATTGTGATCTACTATTTAACTGTCTATTCAGAAATGTTGAACGAGAGTCTATGATTTGAAATAATTAAACTGAATTTTGATATGAGATTCTGGATTGGTTATTGGAGTGAGTTCGAATTGATTTTACATACTATCTAGAATGTTAAGAATTCTCACAATTTTCGTTAATTGATTGAGCAGAACGATTGTGATGGTAAGCGTCTTAAGAGCGCACGATGCAGAGACAATAATTGTGATACAAAAGCTGAAATGGAAGCAAATTCAAGCAAGCAATCAGAGCAAGATGCGAAACTGCCCGAGCCTCCAAAGCAAGATTACATCCATGTACGAGCACGAAGGGGTCAAGCAACCGATAGTCACAGCTTAGCAGAAAGAGTAATATCCTCAATCCTCTTCAGATTGTAATTAAGGAACAATTTTCAAAGTACCCAACTGTAGTAACCATGATTTTTGTTAATAGCCAAATAGTTTTTAAAGACTATAATTTTAAATAGAATTTGCTCATGAAAAGTGTGTGGTGGACAGGCTAGGAGAGAGAAGATAAGTGAGAGGATGAGAATTCTCCAAGATCTGGTCCCTGGTTGTAATAAGGTGAGTATTTCCATTTCTCATACTTTATCTTTGTATCGTTACCTATATATATGTAGGTTTCTTAATAAGTAGGAGCTTTTTTCAATTTTGCAATCTCTTCTCTGTTTGTTGTTGTGATCTGGTGAGACATAAGTTTGAATAAATGATCGAAACCAACCAAGCTCCTTTAACATATTGATTGTTGAATAACACAATTGGAGAGAACAACCCGCCACCAGCCCGTCTCACCACTGGAGAGATCCTTGGCAAGTACAAAAGATGGATTAGATCGGTTTGTGCCTGCACGCATACAACCACTTTGTCCCTATGTAAACTTAAACCCTCAACCCTCCATTTTGAGAGGTAGAAAAAATACCACTCTTTGGTTTTTGAAAATCAGAATTTTCTGAGTATATAATTGGCCCTATGGTTTTGTTTCACTTTCCTTCCTTGAGGTGAACACCAGTCGGGGTGGGTAAAGAATTTACAAATACCAGGAAGTACGAGTTCTAGTCACATCTGTCGTCGACTATAATTATCTTCATTCTGCTCTTTCCCATATCTAAAAAGCCCTTCCTTCTCAATTCACTCTCTGGTCAAATTACATGTGAATTGAGGTTTCTATATCATCCTAGCTAGTTGTAAAATCTAGTACAAGAATTTCTTATTTTCTTGAACTGGAACTCCTCTTTGTGATCACCAATCATGTATTTATTGTTATTCACCCTGTTTGAGGTGCTTGATGGGTCATCAAGGAAAAAAAAAACCAACAACTAGGATCAAGAGTGATCCTAGTTACTGGTTTTGGATAATGCAATTGAGGTCCCTTTGTCGGTTTTTTTTTCTTGATGATGAGAGTTTCCCTTTCATCATCGTGCATTTTCGATCTACTTGGCTCTGATATCTTCCTTATCATCATTTATTGCCACCAAATCGAAACAACAACTTCTTCGCGGAAACAGAAGAAACTAAAAGCAAATAGCAAAGGAACCATTCATATGCATAACAGATAAGATTAAATCGAGACTTCGATAAAAGATACATCTAGCAAAATAAATGGAAAGTAACGGATTGGAATCTGATTGGAGACCTCAGAGAGGATCTTTGGTTGGAAGATTCATTCCTGTGATTCTTGTGTAGAACTTTTCTTACCTTCGGCAACTCTAATTACAGTAAGATTCATGCCTAAACGACAGTACAAAAAAGAAAACTGCATTTGACACGTAGAAAGAAGATGAGTGAAGTTGCGGACTTGTCAGCAAGAGGAACTTATATGACCCGACACATAATAATTTCTTACCAAGTCACCCTAGTTTGTTTTTGAGAAGCAATTCATAAAATATAGTTTTCTGCATGCATGTTCTATTACTTTTGTTTGCTCCGGTAGCTGTAACTCCAATTGTTTGTCTTCCTCCACATTCGATGGGATCAAACTGGTTACAGTTGCTTCTCTCCAACTGTCTTACTATCAATCTTGTTGAAAGCCAATCGATTGGTTTCGGTCAGTTTATGTGACAACTGTAGGTTGTGTAAAAGTGAGAAGGAGCCATTTGTTGGTTTCTCTGATTTTTTTCGGACTTGTGGCTGTATACCCCTTAACCTACTTTTTATTTTTTGAAGTACTGGTTCTTACAGAGTTTTGTTTGAATTCAGGTCATTGGCAAAGCACTGGTTCTAGATGAGATCATTAATTACATACAATCACTACAGCGTCAGGTTGAGGTATACATCTTTTGATTATATGTTGTTGCACTTGTGTTGTTTGAGATCGTTCACTCTTGCTCATGGACCTGAGACATGCAAATTTACTGGGTATTACAGTTCTTGTCGATGAAGCTTGAAGCGGTTAATTCGAGAATGAACCCCAGCATTGAAGGACGTCCAGCGAAAGATGTAAGTCCCAAAACACCATTTCAAACAAGCTTTGCAAAAAATTGTCAACCATAGTTTCACTCTCTTTTGGTCCTTATTCAACTGGCTACTGCTGGCATTTTTTTGGTGCAGTCTTTTTTGTTTAAAAAAAATAAAAAATAAAAAAAAAATTTGCATTTCAACATCTTCAAAATCTAGTTAATAGTTGTCATAAGTTCTTCAATATTTGGTTCATGGAGAAAATTGTTATTAGGCAACTTTTGACATAAAAACATATGCTCAAGAATTCTCATGGAAAACGAGCCATTTGCCAAGAAGGTTGGGTGGACGCCTAGCCTTTGAATGCTTGTGGACTAATGAAGGTGTAAAAAAGTAGATAGATTGTTTGGAGATTCCTATCCTCCCTTTTCGTTCGACTTCTGTCTTCTGCATAAATAATATGGTAAGTTGTTGTTTCAGTTCGGTCAACAAACATTTGACACGGCTGGTCTGGCATATGGTTCACAAGCTACAAGGAACTACAGAAGGAGTTCATCGCCAGAATGGTTGCATATGCAGATTGGCGGCGGCAGCGGCGGCGGCTTTGAAAGAACAACGTAATTTATGCCAAAAAGTATACACCACTAATAAGAACATAAAATACACCTGCTACCTCCTTCAGCGACTGCCAAAAAGTATACCCGCTATCTTGAATCAGAAGACCTCAGTATCGTTTTCTGCATTACGCATGGAGCTGCAATATGCTTCTAAGAGAGGTGAAATTAATATCTAAACAACTCCATTCCTTTCGGGCAGAAAATGAATCTGTTTAGCTCCTTGTAATTCATAGCAGGCTTCATGTTCTACGTCCCAAAAGCTACTGTTCTTGTAAAATTCAGAATGTTTAAAGCATAATTCAGAATGTACTGAGAAGCTGAAGGTTTTGTTCAATAAGCAGTTTAAGGCTTTGTTTGGCAGTTAATATGGTTGTCGATCATGGTATGAAACCTTGATTTGCACATCAGCTTTCTGGTTTTTTAAATTGTTTTCTTCATTGATATACTCCTGTTAGAAGTTGAACAGTTTGTCTTGGGTATTCGTTAAAAAATGGTAGATATATAGTTTGTTTTTTCACCTCAGCTTTTTAGAGGACTGAGCTCCTCGTAGCTCCGAAATCCACTGGGTGGGTCTGTCAATCATAATTATCCATGACTGTTCACTGCTTGATGAAATGTGGCTTCTCTTTGGCTAGTTGGTACTGTAACCGGTATTCTTGTGATTGGTTTAATAGGTATCTTTCTTTTAAGGTTCATATTCGTGATTGGGTTCATCCATGTAATAATTGGATGAATATTATAGACATGAAAGCGTAAGAACTCGGTGAACAATGCCTAGGTTAGGGGTGGGAACACTACACGGAGACGAACAGAAATATAAACAGTAAAGCAAACTCAAGTTCCAAAGTTCCTGTTAGTCTCATCAAGGCACCTAGATAGACCAAGGTTGAGATGACGATCACGCTTTCAACCATCGGTAAATCTCAAAGAGAACAGCGTTACCGCCATCCGGACAAATGCCCAGAAGAATGCAAGACCTACAAGCTTGAATTTTCTGTTACTATAAGCAAGATGAACAATGATAATACCCTCTCATGAATTTATGAGAATAGACATTTTTGCATATGAGAGACAAGCTCATTATTGCCTGCCACTTTACTTCCCAGAGATGACTAGAAGATCAAAAGTGTCGATCTGGAAGCAGTGTGTTATTGGAACTCAGTGAATGGTTCGATCCAACTAATGTGAGGCTATTCCTCCAACTATATGAAAAAGTAAAAGGGACCAATTCAACCAAAATCCAAGTCTCAACGCCAGGTGCCACACACCAACATAACATCAAATTCGTATCCTCAACCATCAAAATATAAACTCACACTTAAATTCAGTGAAATGATTAAACATCAACACCATACCTAATCATTTCTCCAAGAAGCAACACACGGGTATTACTTAAAGGAATCACATTCGTGGCTGAATTTCATGATACTTGATTAACCATAGCCGAAAAAGTAGAAGTAGAACAAGAAGAAAGTTGTAGCACCATCACGTTGTTTTGGCATTAATTTCAATTTAAGAAAGCAATTCAATTCTCATGAGAAAGTGGAACCATACAGCGATACCATCAACTAACATGTCACACAACACTAAGGGTTGTAGCTTAGTGATATCTTTTTTACCATCCAAAGTGGAAGGATGAGGATTCAAGTTAGGGGCAAAGTGGGTGTGGGTGTGGGTGTGCGCGCTATTTGCCAAGACCAAAGATGAGAGGGAAAAATTAAGTATGTTAACACAAAGAATGTCCTAATACATTACATTAAAAGTTAATATTGTGCCTTTACAGTACTAAAAAAAAATGGAGGATTCTTCAGATAGTAGCACATTACGTGACCGGCTGTGTTCTACCATAAGAGGTTCCACTCTGGTTCAAATCATTCCCATTTGACTGAAAGTGGGATAAGGCTGCCCAAATCAAACGTAATAAAAGAATTACCACAAATACCGTGCCTCCAAGAGTGCACACCACCTACATGCAACATTTATCACCATATATTAGTGTAATTGTCAGATTTCTTTTTGTCCAAACGTAACTTATTCTGAAAGCTGAAGGTTTAAGGATGCTAAAAGTGGTAGCAGCTCCATCACTTTCAGCACTATTTATTGTTAGCTACTCTGAAAACTATTTACTTTGAATGGATTAAAGGTTTTGAGATCATATTTTCAGTTAGCTTTAAGCCTTTCAAAGAAAATAAAAAATAAAAAAATAAAAAAAAGATGAAAGGCTCTGAGACAAGTCACTTTCCCCAAAGAAACTGAGGGATGTGAGGGAAGGAGGTGACAAACTTATTATCTCTTTGTTTTTTGTTTGATTGGTATTCCATCTATGCGACCCGCATTTAGTTTGATCAATTTGCCTACTCTTATCTTTAAATGGGTCTGCGAGGGAGGGGAACTTGCAAAAGCTATTAGTAAACTCCTAATCCCTGGTGATACCATTAGTTTTATAGGATTAATAATTTATTATTAATTAAAATAGAATAACACTAAATAATGCTAGATTTTTTTCTTTTTCTTTTTCTTTTTTAAAGCAAAGAGAAAATAATAATGTTAGATTAGCTATACAAAAAAATAGCATAATATAAATCTGGTCTCTTGTATCCTGTATTCTTTATTGTTCTCAAATTCATCATTTTCTTTGTATCAACCAATTAACTTCTACCGTACTAAATAATTTAGGTATCTGGGCAGTGGGCAATTGTAATTCATGACAAGGCCTTCATAACACTCGATGTCTTGTAAAAGTTGTTGTATGTAAAATTATATATCTTAATCTATGAATAACTATATAATGGAGTCCTTAATGGTACTTGTGATGGCAATATCTCAACTTGTATTTAAGATTATAAAACAATATCTACACTACTAACATATATGTACCAGCAAAATAGTACCTCAAGAAGTGCTTTCACAATAGAAAGAGAGGCTAAAAGGCAAACCCCATCAACGGCAAAGGAAACCTGCATTCCCCATGTTGGGGAGGAGAGAGAGGGAGAACAATTAGCAACTAATTGGAAAATTAAGTGAGCAACAAGAAACAAATTATGGTTGTGTGTTTACTAGAAGCAGCAAAAAAAAAAAAAAAAAAACGCTTGTCATAACATGCAGAATCACAGCATAAAAATTCATCTTAAACAAAGAATCATCATGAAAGCTGGTGTAATCTCAACAAAACTTCCCAATTCATTGCAGAATTAAAGTACAATCATGATTCCTCGTGGAATAGGATTATAGGACCTTCATAAAAAAAAATGAAAAAATTGCTATTACATCATTCTCCCCGTGTGGGAAGAAAACTAGACCTCATGTTTCATGCTTGTACTACAGTTTGTGAGTCCACTGAAGAAAATACTAAAATAACTTAAAAGCCTTCAACTTCTTTTTGCGATCAACCTACTTCCTGAATTACAATTTTGATTCCTAGCATGGATCTAATGCAACAAATTGCTATTATGTTGTAAGTGCTCCAGATGAACCTCTTCTTTCAAAGTAAAGGCTCCTCATTTGGTTCTTTGAGATGGAAAGAATACGGGAAAATGCAAGGATTTCATCTATAAAGATAGCGGATCCAAGATAAAGGCTGTCAAGATCGGGATCCTACAAGTACATTGGATTAAAAGGGGTTCCATAGGGCTGGATCGTACGATCACATCAGAAATCATAAGATTCTACTATATATTATATTGTTTTTGTGTGCGCGCACATGCATGTGTGTGTGGGAGGGTACAATATGTAATGTATAAACAAAAAATTCTTTAAAAAGACAAGAAAAGACCTAAAACACAAGAATAAGACTTATTACAAACAAAACATATGTAATATGTACGTTTGCACAGGCTCACCAAGTAATTGAGAATGTAGAAGGTAGAGCCATCAGCCCAGCACACCACATTGCAATATACAAGTTGTGAGGTTATGGATTGGAAACAGAGAAGAGGACAGAAAGAGATGGATTTAGATAATGTTCCAAAAGAATAAGACACTGTATATGAAAAAAGAAGAAAGATTAACTCAATATTCTTAAAGAAAAAGAGAGAAACAAGACACTCTTTATGAGGAGAAAAAAACACTAAATTGAAAGATGTAGCAAGAACACAATGTTCATGAATAGGAAAACAGGATGTTCTTCATGAGCAAAGAGAAAAATAAGAGGAACTCATTAATGATTAGAAAGAGAGAAACTAAAAGAAATAAGACCAACAGAAAAAAAAAAAAAAAAAAAAAAAAAAAAAGTGGGAAATGGGACACTATTCAAGATGAAGAAGAAGAAGAAATTCGTGAATTTATTTCATAAAACCAACACAAATAATTTTTATAAATCAACCCCTAAAAATAAATAAACATACAAATAGAAATTCAAAGCACTGCCTGAATTTAGTCTAGAAGTCAATGCATAAACGTTCAGCGATGAAACTCCTCTGAAATTTTAAGTTGCATGAGGCAAAAGCTATTATGACGGCGAACAATTTTTAAATTGCTAATAGCTAAAACTATGGGTTCCATACATCAACATCCTGTCTAGAGAGTCATATATACATACTCCCACAAAGGGGGGAAAAAGAAAAGAAAAATCATTTGATGCTCTCTTGACCTATGTTACGTGGACTAAAAAGTATGTGAAGTATCCATGTCGAACACGATACTTAGACATGGGTGCGAGATATATATCTGAAACTTCTGGTTGGACATACACATCAAAAGCAAATCCAATAATTCAATTCTATTACATCATTACTTCAAAATGAGTGAAACAAATATGTTGAATGCTATGTCATACAAATTTTTTGTTTGGAGTTTGATACGTCCAACGCATAGGCACCCACACCCTATACACATACGGTCATACCTGAGTCCAAGTAACATAGCTCTCGAGCACAGTTACAGTTTAAGAGTGAATATTCCATGGCAGAAGAAAAAAAATTACCAATTTCTTCTTCTTGAAAATTAGGAACAAAGTGGTTTTGCCTTTTACTCTGATTTTGAAAAGATGGTCCATTCCATCAGCTTTTATATCAATGAAAGCAAATCTACTCATTCAACACAAACCCATATTCATAAGGTTTGCCTAATAACAAATTTTGCACCCATTTGAGACCTTGGAACCCAAATTGACATTCCAGGTACAAATACCACTATTTGTTTCCTTCATAGTTCATATACTATTTAATTTGAACTTCGTCCCAATTTCAAGAAACCCAAATCCACAAAACCAACCCCACAATGAAAGCAATATATTTAACTTCAACATAATTAGGAATCTAAAATTGCATCCTATATCATACACAGCCGACCAACACCCTGTTATTCCAAAAGAAAAATTAAACAACCAAGTTCAATTATGTGACTGCTCATACATATACAAACAAACTAAATCACAAATACACAGACATCACACAGATATAAGATTAGTTACCAGCTGAGGCGAAATGACGGAGGGTAAGATGGACCGAGAGGCTCTCTTGGCACGCTTGGAGACTTTCTTAAACATGCTTTGAAGGAATCTAAAGAGCAAGTCGAGACTGCTTTCGGTCTCGTCCTCGTCGCTCTCGTCCTCGTCGTCCATCAAATCATCACCGTCAAACAAAACTCCATTAACCACCTCCTCTGCTTCTTCAACCATGTTCGGCTAAGAAAAAATGAAACCCCAATCACTTGTGTGTTAAATCGCAATTTTCAATCTATTGATTTCATCAACAAATACCCCAATTGAATCTGAGCTTTTCAACATCGAAGTATAGAGTGAGAACTGAGAAGGGAAGTTACCTTGGCATGGCATGTGATGGGTCTAGGGTTTGCGTTGTGGGTGATTGCGTAATGGTGGTGATTTAAGGAGTAGGGTTTTGGAAATGGAGAGAGTGAAGAGCGAAGAAGGTTTGTAGATGAGAGAGTGATGAGCTGATTTACAGTCGCAGCTATTGCCATCTATCCAGAATTTGCTAAAATCTATGTGGGATTCTATACGATGCTTATATATTACCACTAAATATGAAAAAGAAGCACCTTCCGAAAAAAAAGAAAAAAAAAAATTTATGAAAAAGAAAAGGAAAAAAAGATGAAAAGTTTCAATGGACTGTGATAGAAAAATAGAAGACTCAAATCTAGAAATTAAACGCTTTATATGTCACTGGATTTGGCTTAATTGTTTTTGGCTCGTAATTAGGTCATATTTAAATTGCATCGCTATTTAAACTTGATGTGTCATTTTAAAATTAAAAATTAATTTTTTAATTAAAATATTTGTCATGTTATACCGATTGTGAGTCACGGTGTCACTTTTTCCATGATAAAATTTATTGGCACATAATAATTGTGTTGCATTCATATCAACTTATATGATAGAATATTCATGACATGACGGAGGAAAGGTAAGAATGATAAAACAATTTATTTTTGATCTGAAAAAGAAAATGAGGAGAAAGATGGGTGAGTCATCTTTCTTTCCTTACAAATTTTAATCTCTTTAAATATACAAGTTTAAATTATAATATTATACTTTATAAATTACAATAATATAAATAGTGATATGTATAATGGTAAAATATATATATATATATATATTAAAACTCCCTCTACTTTCCCTCTTAACAAACACAAAAATTATTTATTTTTTAAAATGTGTCATTCATATCTTATCTTCTTTTTATCTAAATTTTTTTTTCTTCTTACTAAATCAAGCAATAGTCAATGTGCTCTGACCAATCAAGAGTGGCTTAGCCTAGTGCCAAGCACAAAACTAAATTGTTTTATCATTCTTACCTTTATGCCTCATTGTCTAATGGACTAAGAGCCTAATGGACTAAGACCTCATAATGTGTGTGCACCCTATGTATGCCCGAAGGGGACACGTCTCCTTGGCGTGGCCTCGCCTATTGTAATATATGTATTTTTTTCTTTATAAAGAGTAAAGTGCAATAAACCCCCTTGAACTATACCCCAATGAGCACAAAACTCCCTTGAATTTTTAAAGTAGCATTTAACCCCCCTCAACTTAGGAGTTTGGTGGCAATTTACCCAATCCGACCACCGGAAAAAAATTTCGCCGTTAAATTGAGTCCCTGAATACTATAGTTAAATTAAATGACCATTTAACCCTTATCATACAAAAATACCATACTACCCTTATATTATACATATTGTTACCCATTCAACCCAAAATCCCAAAATCCCTAATTCTTCTCTATCCTCTTCAGTCTTCACCAAATTTTCTCTCTCTTCTCTATCTCCATTAAAGACCAAAAGCAGAGCTGTTCGTATTGCCAATCAAAATAAAGGAGTAATAAAGAACAGTCTAAAAGTGAATTTCAAAGATTGAAGATTTGGGTGTATTTTGTAATCCCTTCATGTTGTGAATTGGCACAACAGGAGAAAGCAGAAACAGCAAGTGAAAGATTACCGAACGGCGGGTTAATGGTTGCATGCCCAACTTCTCGAACGGATCTCTCTAAACATCTTGGTTCTTTCCATTTCCCCTCCACCAAACGAGAGCGGCGTGTACACCAAACCGAGAGCGGCGTCCGCACCATGAACTTCTACGACGGCCTTGATCGGAACACCACGGCGATTTTTGTGTTGCTGTGACAGAATATGAGCAGGTCGTTTTTGTGACCTGGTTCTCGCCGTGAATGGTAGTGACCTTTGGGTTGCTACATGTTAGAGGATGGGGTCGCTAGTACTGTAGTGACCCAGCAAGCTATGGAGGACATGGGTTCCTCTGTATTATATCTCTCTGTGTGTCCATCTCTCTCTATATTATATACACATATACAATATTGATATTTTGTATTTTTTTTTTACAGTATGAGTTCCTCTATATCTTCTTATATATGTATACATAGTTTAATTTTGGTTGTGTATGTGGCGCGCGCACACATATATATATATACTGATGTGTAGTATTTTCTTTTACAAAGACTGAGTTTTATTGGTGAATCATCTTTGAGTATTCGAAAGGGTCCTTTCAAGAACTGGAGATGTTTTGTCGTGAAAAGGTAGCCATGTACATTTCTGATTCCAAAAACAATACAGGTTTTTCCCTTTTTTAAGTGCAGTGCGGGTACTTGCAAGTTTTGGGAATGGTGGGTTGCTTCCTTGCACTATGTTATCAGTTTAGACTGTTAGCATATCCCCGAGTTAATTTCAATCTGTTAGGACTTTGAACATTTAGCATATCCCTGGGTTACTTTCAATCTGTTTGCTATTGGTGACGCTATACAGGAATAAATCAATGCCCAGGCAAAAAAAGAAAGTGAAATTTAGCCTCAAATCAAATTAATAAAGGTGATCGGTTGAAGATTTGCGCATTGTTTCTATTTGAAGCTTTACGCTTTACAATTCATGATGCTGTTTTAACTGCCAATTATGGCAATTTGATTCTTCATCACATATCATACATGTCCTTAACTTGATGGAGTGGGGATTTGAACTTGGGCTATCACACCGCATCCAGCTATTGTGTTGATCATGGCAATTGACCAAAAATGAGAATTTGACCTAATTGAGTAATTGACCTGCTGCACATAGCACCTAACCAAAACTGGTATTTTGACCTAATAGAACAATTTACATGCACTTAGCTACTACACATATATTCTGCATATAACACCTGCACATATATACACCAAGTAACTACTGCACTAATCTACTACTCATATATCCTATATTTAGTACACTTTATTGCACATATCATTCATCAAATTCACTTACCACCTGCATATGATACACACAAATATTAAGTCACAATACTAATTCGCATAGTGCACTAGCAAACATAAAATTTAACAACACAAACATTAAGTAACAGTCTTCAAAGATACTGAACTTTTATTACATAACCAAATTAATCTTAATGTTTCCATATCCCAGTCATCAGTACTTAATTAACAAAACATTAATATTTGGTCATTCTTCTTGTCAACATAAACAATAAGACAAAAAAATGATTTAAAGGTCATTCATGTTAACAAAAGCCATTAGTTCAGTACCATCAACCACCCAAAAAACTGTAACCATCTTCACTACCAACAAGCATAGTCATTGTCCATCATTGACCTGTGAAAGCATAAATTACACATGTTCAGTATTTAAACAAGTTTCAGTAGCTACCTAAATAAGCAAAATAATGAAACACACCTAGAAGATGAAGCCTGTGTTGATGCCAGTTGAGAAAATGTTATGTTTTGAACCTATTATGAACATGCACATGTGAGAAGATTTGGAAAACACCAGCAAAGAACTATGTTTACCGGAAAAAGAAAAAAAAAATTAATTAAAGTATACCTCCTGACTCTGATTTGAAGGTACTGTAGTAGGAATTTCAGTTCTAGCAACTCTTCCTCTTTCACCCCTCCTTCCCCTTCCTCTCACTGGTTGTCCTTTTCCTCTGCCAATAATTGGTGGTCTACCTCCCTTTTTTGGTGGAGGTTTCTCAATGACCAAAGGTGCAGAAAGTTTACAAGTCCTTGAGTTATGACCTTTAACCTGGCACTTTGAACATTTCAGCTGTTGCTTTGACCTGCTAAGCTTAGTTGAAGTACTGGGCTCATCATTTTTCTTGCTTCTAGCCTTCTTTGGTCTTCTAGTGGGTTTACTAAAGGTTGGTGGAAGCAATGGGTTGGAGGGTTGTGCTTTCAACAACTGTCTCATAGAGAAAGGATGTATTAAACTATAATAGGCCTTCAAGTATGTTTCCCTATAATAATATGGATCAACATATGACTCAGGCAGGTCCTTCCTTAAAAATATGCATGCTACAACATGCCTACAAGGTATACCAGTCAAATTCCATATTTTGCAACTGCAAGTTTTCTTCTCAAGATCAACTGCCTCGCCAATGCCAAAGTATTCAACATCATACTTGTTATAACCAGCATAAAGAACCTTGCACATCCTTGCTTGCCTTTTCACTTTGTTCAAATTCTTTTGAATTTCTGGGCACAATAAACCATCCTTTGATTCCATCCATTCTCTTTTCTTTTGGAACCTCAACATTAAATGTCTTCTGATCCACTCCAACATGTATATAATTGGTTTATCCCTTGCTTGAAGGATGACAGCATTCCAACTCTCACACATATTATTGATCACCATATCACTTTTTGATTGATATGTGAATCTTGATTTTGACCAGAATTCAGGTGGCACATTGTGAAGCCAGCCATAAGCTTCAGCATTCAACACCTTGATATTCCTCATATGTACATCAAAATCAGCTTCTGTGAAAGACCTTGCTGCTTCCCACAACTCATTTTTTAGTTGTTGCCCTTTGAACCTAAGTTTGAAGTTCTCATATAGATGCCTCACACAATATCTATGGTCTGACCCATCCATTATGTTCTCAAAAGTGTCAACCAGACCCTGCATTCACAAGAAAAATATTTCAATTCTAAACTAACAAAATTTTTAAACCACATATGAACTGAATAATGTTAAATATACTTACTTTTTGTCTATCAGATATGAATGTGATTTCTTGGTAAGGCCCCACAGCATCCATGAGCTCTGACATAAACCAACTCCAAGAATCCCTTGTCTCAGACTCAACCACAACAAAGGCAACTGGGAACATTTGTTCATTTCCATCAATAGATACAGCACTGAGAAGGTGACCCCCATATGGTCCCTTTAAGAAACAACCATCTACACCAATTAGTGGCCTACACCCTTTTTTAAAACCCTTTTCTCATTGCAGCATAACAAATAAAAACCCTCTGAAATTTTCTCACATTTTCTTCAGCTGTGGGCTCAGTTTGAATTTTAACTACACTGCCTGGGTTTGATGTAAATATCAAATGAGCGTACTCCCTCATCTTTTCATATTGTTCTACTTCATTTCCCTCAACAACATCTAAAGCTTTTCTCTTTGCTCTTCTTACTTTGTAGTCTGACACATCAATATCCAACTCACTTGCAATAGTACGCTTAAGTGTATTTGTTGGCATGCCTGGATTAATTCTCACTTGCTCTAGATACTTATTTGCTAAGTAGGTAGATGTGGCTTGTCCATTTGTATAAAACCAAAGGCAGTTATTATGCTCTGGAACATATGTCTTCACTATTAAGCAATCCTCATCGTCTGGCTTGCTTGCAAATATCTTCCAACCACAACCCCCCTTACATACTTCAGAAATCCTATCCCCATCATTTCTTTTGAACTTCAAATCAAACCTTTTCTTCACTGCTATTTCTCTAAGTGCTAGTCTGAAATCTGCAGCTGTCGCAAATTTCATGCCCACTGCTATTTCTTTTTCCCCCAAATCCTTTGAAGGAATAAATTCTTGGTGCTTAGGACCATTACCCTCATCATCATCTGATCCACATGCACTTATCAACTCATCAGTAGGAGCATAATCAGATTCAACCTGTGCAAAATCTGCTTCAACTTGTGCATAATCATCAGTTGAAGTTAAGCCCTCATTTTCTGCACTATGTGTTGAAATTGAAATTTCTTTCCCTTGCAGATTCAACATAGGTGCAACAATGTATAACTTGACCAGGTTGCCTTCCCTCTGAGCTTCATAGTCATAAAACATCCTTAGTACATCTAAATCACATCTGACCTATCTGAAGCAGTGATTACCATTTAAGAATGGTACTTTATAAAACACTTCTTTGATATCCCCATATCCCAAATTATTTGCCATCTCTTAGATATCAGTATAAGTCATGAGGTCTGGGTCTACACTTTCAATGAAGGATGTAGCTTCTCCTATGTATGTCATATGGGGTGTTTTTGAAAAAAGACCTCCATGATGAAGCTCAATACTGTAAAGGTGCATCTACAAAATTTGTACAAGACAGGCAAGTACTTTAAACACACTAAAGAAGTAAGAAGTGAAAAGAAAAAAAATAGTGACTTAAATGCAAGCACTTTAAAGGTGCATAAAGACAAACAATACCTTTGAAGTGTAGAATATGGTCAATGGTCACAAGTGCATTACAAGTGGACAGTTTCGAAAAAAAGAAAAAAAAAAAAAAATCAAACTACATTCAGCATGACCACTCAATCGCGGGGTAACAAATTCAATAGCAACTCCACACTTCAATAATTGAAAAGGACCTAAAATAAATTCACAGCAAAGACCATTCAATCACAATCCAAACATACAAATGATTTTACTAGGGACCACTAATGACCAAGTTGCTGCCTACTAAAAACATTACTGATGTCTGATGCAAAAAAGAACAAGCTTTTGGTGCAGAACTTTAAAAGTAGATGCTTTCAACACTATATAACAAAACATGGAAGAATCTAAAAGTGACAACATATGCAAATACACAATCAAATTTATGTCGCCCAAAACTTAGTAAATCACTACTCATTTTTTTTGCAATTTTTACTTAATATGTTTCAGTTGCTTAAATTTTCGAGAGAGAGAGAGAAAAAATAATAATAAAAATAAATCTTTCACAGATCATTCACAGGTGGAAAAAAAATCAAATAAAACCAAACATCTTGGATTAACATACTAAACCCTAACATAGAACAATTTTCACAAAAACTTAGTAAATCACTACTCATTTTTTTTGCAATTTTTACTTAATATATTTCAGTTGCTTAAATTTTCAGGAAAAAAAAAAAAAAAAAAATTCTTTCATAGGTGAAAAAAAAAAAAAATCAAATAAGACCAAACATCTTGGATTACCATACTAAACCCTAACATAGAACAATTTTTAGAAAAATTTAGTAAATCACTACTCATTTTTTTGCATATTAAATCAATATTAACAAACTAATGTGCTAGGGTTTAGAGCTTTACTGAGTAACCTTTGAAGATCAAGACTGAAGATCGAACGAAAGCACGAATTTGATCCTGATCAATAAAGTTTTATCTCTCTGTATTCAATATATGAAAGCCTATGTTGATATTGTACTCCGTAAATGGGGTGAATGAATGGTGGTAGGTGATAAAAGTGTTAGTTACAGTGATAAGGGTGAATGTGTGTCAATCATTAATTCACTGCCTCCATAAATAAAAATGGGTCCCACATCAATTTAACAATTTTATTACTTATATTTTTTTTTATTTGTTTTATTACTTATATTGATGTGTTTTATTGAAGGGATAAAATGGTCTTTACACATTTTCGATTATAAGATGTCACCGGCAAAACTTTCTCTGTCCTAAAACTTAACTAAACTCATAGTTTGGGGGGGGGGTTATTTGTAGTTGAGGGGGGTTTGTTGCACCTGGGGTATAATTCAGGGGGGTTTATTGCACTTTAACCTTATAAATATATGAAAATTTGTATACAATGTCTCCTAAAACTATTTTTATTTTTCAAAATTCTCTCTTTAACTTTTTCTTTTTTCCCTCATTCTCTTTAAATTCCTTTAATTTTCATACCCCCAATTGAAATCGTAACTCCACCCAGTACCCACTTGGGCTAGCCATGCACCACAAGTCCCTCACACCAATGTGTCTGCACCCAATTGGGCTAGCCATGCTTAGGCACCCACTCGGTCACTGAGTTGCCATAGCATTTAAGCGCCTTCACATGCATGCCTAGTGTCAGGCGTGCCATAGCCCAACTTTGTGCATTAAGGTTTGAAATGCGATTTTAATTAAAGACGTCAATTTAACCCATTCCGCTTGGACCTCACCCCCTCCCGCCCCTGTTAGGATCCGAATTCACCATTGAGCATGAATTTGTGTGTTGGATCATCCTTAGGAGAATGGGCCTGGAAAGAAAATTTAAAACCTCCCCCAAAAAAAATAATAATAATAATTTGTGTATAAATAAACAGTTTTTTTATTAGTTAAAATTTTTCTTTATTTTTAAAAAAAATTTAAATTTTAGCAACATTTTTGTTATTATGACAAAATTTGTTCAAATTTGAATTGTTATTTTAAAAAAGATATGTATAAAAAGAAAGAAAATTCATTGGTGAGACCAATTTGAAAGTTGAGATGACTCGAATAATTTTCTGAAGTCGTTTCTTCAAGCGTTTTCCGGACTTTCAAGTCTCCCATAATTTCAAAAATGTCACAGTGCACGTTGTCACACATTGATGGTTCACTCGTGCCCCCGTTGGCAGACCTTGTTAGAATGTTTCTCAAGTTTATTATAATACTTTAGTTAAGGTGGAGTTATGAAGAGCTTGAGGTGGAGTAATGAAGAGATTCTTGTTCGATGTGGAGCTATGGAGGAGCACGTGAAGATTAAATTTTGAGCCAAAGTAGAGATTGTTGGGTTTATGGCTCAAAATTTGTGTGCAAAAAATTAGTTTCCTTTTTCACTTTGGAAGGCTAAAATTTGTGGAGGAAATTGTATCCCATTATGTTTCTATTTTAGAGCTGTTATCATTATAGTAACTTCTTATAGGCAAGTTGAGGAATACTTTTCCAACAAGGAATTAGATTTTGAAAACTCGATAAATAAAGATAGGTGTGAGGGGTTTAGAGAGAGAAGAGAGAAAATATGTAAAGGGTTTAAGGGTGAGTGTTGTTAGAAGAGGAGTGAGTATATATAATTCCCGAGTATATACATGTAGCCTCATAAGAGATGATGAGCAAGTGAGTTAGGTTTTGATAACATGTGGTTGTATATTCTCTTCCTTGATTCATAATAGTAAAATCTCTCTCTCCCATAGACGTAACCCTAAAGTTGGGTAAACCATATAAAATATTGTGTTGTGCGTGAATGCGTGTGATTGTTATCTCCATATATGCTTGAGTTAATGTGTAATGACTCAGTCAGTTTCCTTCATTTCCTTTTCTCAGATTTTCACGGATATTTTTTTTCCGTTGATCTTTTCTTTTTTGAGTTCGACTTCTCGTCACTTAGGGTCATCTTGAGTGTTCGGGGATGATATTCGAGACTTTTTTCTTTGAATTGACGACTTTATTTAAGGACCAAGTCATTTTCATATTTTCATTTTTGTGACACTATTCACTTTTCATCTTTTTCCCGTTTGTCACTTTACTAGCACAACCTCACTTTTTGTGTTCGGATTTGATTTCAGTTTTGCATGCATCCACGATACTCGAATTTCATTCTATGTGTATTTTTACTTTTGTAGAAAAGTATGTTAGTTGCTTACTTTTACGTAAAGGACATGAATGCATAGTTTCTTCGGAAATATTCTTGATTTTCGGGGTTTAGTGTAATTATGTAAAGTAATTATTTTTCGTTTTAGGGACCATTTTGTAATTTAATTTGGAAGATATTTTCAAAAAGCACCATTTTGCAATTAAGTTTGCAAGATATTTAGAGGAAAGACCTTTATGCAAATATTTTTAGGCTACTTTGGAATTATGTTGTTAAAGAAGGGTTTTTGTGTAATTGACCAAAGTTGTGTGTGTTAACCATGGTGCTAGTTCACATAGTGAGTGGAGGATCTCTATATCCTCCACTCATATTTCATCTTCACTACTTTATCTTACCCCTCTCTTGAAAGAATCCTAGCCTCCATGGATGATACTTAAAGCCTTAAGCTTTGACTTTGATTTTTGAGAGCCTTCCATTGATTTCCAAGTTTAACCTTGGGAATATTTTTTATTCCTCTCATCCTCCTCTACATAACCATTGAAGGGTTTGCCATTTTGTGTTGATTTGCCTTTGATTCTAGAGAGACACTTCTCTAGTAAGGTAGGGGGTGTTCTAGTTTATTATTTAAGGGTTTTATTTGCTTTTGTATGAAATATAAGTTGTACGTATGTCTTTTGTTAATTTGATAAATTAATGATTTATTATAACTTGCATATAACTCATTTTAGACTTGGTATATGGCATAGCCATGACTTGATTTTTGTTATATATTAAATTGGGATGATTTAAATGAGTTTTCAAATCTAGAGATTTAATGAATTTAATTTGATTTAAATTCTATTTAATTGCATTTTGCTTGTACTCCATTTTAGACTTGATATATGGTATGACCATGACTTAGTGCTTGATATATATTAATTTGGAATCATTTGAATAACTTTTGAAATTTAGAGATTTAATTAATTTAAATTCTATGATATCTTGCTCATCTTGCACTTTTGATTTGATATATGTAATGACTATATTATGTCCTTTAACATATATTAATTTGAGTTTATTTGGAATTGATTTGAAATATAGAGAATTTAATTATTTTTTTGTTTAATTAAATTCTATCTAATTGTTTCATAGATTTAATTATATCGTAGAAGTTGTTTCTATATTTAAATCATGGATTTTAGACTTGTTATGTATTCACTTGGTTGTGTTGTAAGCATTGAATAACATTGTTGTTAAATTTATATTCATGAGAACTTGTTTCCAATATTGAATATATGATTGGCTTGTGTAATGAATTGCACACTTTGTATTTGACATTATATATGCTATTTTAGAATTGAAACTTTAAGGCATGGATTGTGTGGTTTCAACCTACTTGTGCATGGAAAGTGATTTCATGCATTATTTAAATTACGTATAAGTTGTGAACTTATTTATTTATTTTGAAGTCACTTGGGACATTGTTACAGAGACTTGGCTAGAATTTGGCTCTAGTACGGGAGGTATGAGTTCTTCCTATTTTATAGTGCACACTAAGGTGGTATTCCCAACGGGTTAGTGCCCCGAATAATCGTTTAGGTCTTGCCTTTATCCAATATTTGATGTCCAAGTCTTCCACTATTTGATTTCGCATTCAATTCCAAGTTGACAATCATGTTTAATTGTGACTTATGGTTTTGGTTATTGGCGATTTAATGTTGTTAAGTACATTTGTGCATTATGATTTTTAAGGAATCATTGTATGTTTTTAATATTGTTAAGTACATTTGTGCATTATGCTTTTTAAGGAATCATTGTATGTTTTTAATATTGTTAAGTATATTTGTGCATTATGATTTTTAAGGAATCATCGCATATTTTTAATGTTGTAAGTACATTTGTGCATTATGGTTTGTAAGGAATTATCGCACGTTTTTAATATTGTTAAGTACATTTATGCATTATGATTTCTAAGGAATAATCGCATGTATTTGATGTTATCAAGTACATTTATGTTAAAATATTCAAATGTAGCTTAGGAATGATCCTATAGATTCATTTGGAATATAGACGTTATGTGGCATGACCCACTTTTATCGTTTTCGTGTTTTAGATTTCAAGTTGATGGCTTTGAGAATCTATATCTTGTTGCTTTGTATAGCATGGCCTTATGTTGTTTGGAATTGCATGAAGGATGTGATTTATACTAGAAATGATCTAAGGTAGCTTAGGATACTCTCTGAGTATCACATTTGACATAGACGTTAGGTGGCATGATCCTTTTGAATTGTTTCATGTTAATGTAATAATCTTGTAAAAAGTTGAGTCTATGCATGCTCATTTCCTACGAGTAACTTGTTTATTCACTCCAAAGTTATCGGGTGATTTGTCGGGTACGGATGCCTTGGTTTGGGATGCAAAATATCCCTGAATCGTTTCGATGAATTGAAGTTCTTTAAGTGTATTCTTGTTCATGATTCATGCAAATGTTAGTATGAAATGCTATTTGTAGCACATATGTCAAAATGTGTATATTTGATTCTAAACATGTAATGTGTACATAAGTACACTCTTTACAATGTATTTGACATGTATGAGATGAGGCCGGAAGCCAATGACATATATCTTGTATTTTATGCATATTCACTTTCAAGGATTATTATGGAAATATTGAAAAATGTCAAGTTTTTACTTCACCATGTTTGCATCAGGTGTGGGAATTTCATTTTTGTTCTTTCATAGGATCTCATTAGTCATGCATGAAGAGTCGCCAATGGCCAAACGGTAAATTGAAACCATTTTATGATTTTAAGTTTCAAAATTTCTTTTTTATGTGCTTTTTCGCCTTTTTAGCCGTTGGGGGGTTAGATTTTTGCATCGACGGTATTTTTAAACCGTGAATCATTGTAGCATATCCCAATAGGTAAGTTACGTCTGCGTACATGGTCGTTTCTGGAAAGAACTCTTTCGTTGATGAAATGAACCTCCTATGAACTCATTTCACACTTTTCTTGCATAAATCTTGCTTAAGGGTATTTTGGGATTTTTCTTCGGGAAATAAATTTTAGTCTCAACTCTGTCACATAGAAAATGTGATTTTGGGGGGAGTTTCTTCACGCCATTTTTCCGAAAAATGTCGTCTTGGTATCGAAAACCGCGTTTCAAACTCATTTTTCTGATTTTTCTGTATTTTTACTGTTTGGGTTCAATTCTGGATGGGTTGAACCGGTTCAGAGGGGCTGAATTGGTTCAAGATGTGATTTGGGTCCAACATGGACATTTTCTCCATGTTGAACCGCTTCAAGGATGTTGAACCTGTTCAAGTCTTTCAGAACCATTTTGCAGGTTCAGCTTTGGCCTTCCAATTTTGAATTATCATAACTTTTTCGTTTAAACTCCGAATTAGTCCGTTCTTAAGTCTAAACGGACCATGTCGAAGTAAGCTTTCCAATGGTACCAATTTCAGTTTCAGATTCTTCTCCTACCTCAAGATAGCCTTGTTTTAGTGAGAGGGTGTCAGTTTTAGTTCGAACCGGGATAGGGTTCATTTGGGATTTCACTTCCTTTGACCTTGAGGCTTCACGTGAAGTTACCAAATAATGATTTTGGATATTTTTGATCTCATTTGACTTGTTGGAAGTCAAATTCCTTCTTCTTCGGGTAAAATGACCATTTTACCCTTGGTCATTCTTTTGGTGGAGTTTGATACCCTTGTCTTCGTTTTGCTTCTGTTGAGTCTCGAAACTCCTCGAAGGGCCATTCTTGTGTCTTAGGGATGACGTACATCTCTAAAGACCTTAGTTGTCTAATTTGCTTCCGCATTTCGGATACGTTACCGGATCAAATTTTGGATCATCACTGACGCACCGGGTTGTAAAACTTGGACCGTCACATAATGTGATGTGATGATGCTTCTACTCTGTGTGATGAAAAAGGAACTTAACTGTCAACAACAACCAACCGTTGAGTGGGTTGAAGGGAGTTGATTATCCCCAACAGACCTAGCCAAGACTCATAACTCTAGTACAAATATTAAGACTTGAATCCATTCCAACATTTTAACAGTTTGAATGACACAGATGGGTTAAAATAATACAAGAATTGAGCAATAACATTAATAGCAGAAATTACACAGCACACACAAGGAGGACAACCTTGTTAGCTTGAAATTTGAAAACAAAAGAGACATGTAAAAGAACTAAAAATTGAACACCAACCAACTCAACAACCCAAAGAAACAAGAAAGGACAATGAAGAGAACAACAAAGGATTTTCTGTGGTTTGCTGGTGCTAATCCTTCTCCCCTTTCCTCCTCTTGCGTTTTCCTTGCAACTTCATAACTGGTGTCCATATTATTATTATTATTCTCTTCGGAAAATCCAACGAACTTCGATAACTTCTCTGATACAGATTGCTGACTTTCATCCAGCGATTCTTCGTCTCCATCATAATCATCATCATTTTCGTACACCAGATAAATCCCACACTTCTTCAGCTCAACCCCCTTCAGAAATGGAGGGTTTCGCATTTCCACCAGTATCTCATCGCCATCTTTTAGTATAGAAACCAACGGATTGTAATCTGGAAATCGGCATATATAAACTTGATCTTCATGTGTCTTGGGAACTCCAGCTAAATACAACGCACTGGTGTATACTGGTTCATTCAGTCTGAGAATCTTCACTATAATATCTGGTATTACAGGGAGCTGCTCTCTTAAATCATTCGGTGTTTGATGGTTGACAGAGACAACAACACATATGATCACACTTTCAATCACACGGTTTTTTCGCGTTGAAAAACGCACCACTCCTTGAGTAAACCACTCTGGGATCGTGCTTCCAGGCAAGCTCAAGTTGTATAACTTCTTCAATGCAACCTGCATTCGGAAAGTTGTCAACAATAAATTACTTTTTGTTCAAAATAGTACTCAGGGAGATTATAAAATCAAGAATCATGCAAAACTATGATAATGTATGCCATCATGCATGCATGTAAAAGCAAGCTGCAAACGCGCATGCGCGCGAACAGAGAGAGAGAGAGAGAGAGAGACCTTATCAAATTTTCCCTTCACTGAAGAGCATGAACTGCAACCACTCATGTGCAACCTTCTCAAGGACTTCAAGGATTCGAGGCCTGGAATATCCACTAATTTTTCACAGTTCGTAAGGAACAGCTCTTGTAAACTCTGCAAACTTGACAGATCTGGTATTTCTTCAAGTGCTGTACAATTTGCAGCATTTATCTCCACCAAACTCGATGGAAGAGGGGGGAGAACTTTGAGCTCTTTACAGTGTGGAAGGAAAAGCTGTTTGAGAGCAGAGAGTCCCCTCAAACTAGATGGAAGACTAGAAAAATCATTGTGACCCAGATTCAAAATCTCTAATGATGACAATTTCTCAAAATCATCAGGTATTTTGCCAGATAATTTCCAAGCACGAGCATCCAACTCTATTAACCAGGAGAGATTTGAGAAAGTAGATGGAAGCGCAACAAGCTCTCTATTTTCAGCATTCTGAGGCACTTCTTGATAAGGTTTCTTTGCCATTTTCAATACCATTAAGCTCGTGAGCATCCCAAATTTTTCGGGTAGTTCTGTCACAGCAGTTTCCTCCATTCGCAAGTGGTGCAAAGACTTCAATTCCCCAATCGAAGCTGGCAGTTTAGAGAGCTGCTTACATTTGTTCAAATTTAACGTTCCAAGATTTTCCAATATTCCTATCGATTCTGGCAACTCAGTTATGGCAGCATTCACGATAATCAATGTAGTAAGAGTCACAATTCTTCCAATTGATTTTGGCAATGAGCAAAGAGATTTACAATTCCTCATCTCAAGCTTCTCAAGTGATTTCAACATGCAAATCTGATCCGGTAGATTTAGAATTGGTGTCTCATCTAGCTGAAGCTCAATAACAGAAGCCAAGCCTTCAATGGAACTAGGCAATGAACTCAAAGAAACACAGTTTCCAACTGACAAGTCCTTCAGATAAGATAATGAACCAATAGAAGCTGGCAGTTCTTTGACTGAACTACCATTAAGCCAAAATTTTGTTAATGATTTGAGATTTCCAACAGAATCAGGGATTACAGTCAGCGATCTACACCACATCAAACTTAGTATATCAAGTTTTCCCAACAAGCCAATGGAATTAGGTATTTCTTCCAATGCAGAACCATTTAGAGAAAGTTCCCTCAGAGAACTCAACTTTCCCATGCATATGGGTAGTTGTTTCAATGACTGGCAGTCGTTTAAACTAAGCCTTTCAAGCTTTGTAACGAGGAATATAGATTCAGGTAACTTCTCTATAGCAGTTCCATCAAGGAGAAGTTCTTTTAAAGAATTCATGCCGCCCATGTCCTGTGGTAGTTTTTTCAGTTTTGAGCAACCAGAGAGGATCAGGTTCTCAAGATCCTTCATCCCAGAAACATCACTTGGAAATTCAACAAGGGAGGAACAGCTTCTCAGGTTCAAATAACGTAATGTGCTCACACGCCCAATCGATTTATGAATGCTTCTCAAACTAATGCAACGCTCAAGAATCAACTTCTCCAAGGCATGATGCCCAGATAAATCTGGAATATCAGTTAGGTTATAACAACCATGGAGATTCATAACCATCAATTTCACTCCAACCTGGTGAACAAGAAATTTTCCACTTTTAATATTCTTTTTTTTTTTTTCTTCGGCTGCGGGGGAGGGGGGGGGGGGGGGGGGGGGGGGGGGGGGTGGGTTGGGAAATAATAGAATTAAACCACTGCCAAAGAAAAATATAAGCAGAACAAAACCCAAGCACTTCAGTGACTTGAGCATGACCAAGAATGAAAAATAGACACAAGGAAGCCAATTTAGAAAGTGCAGGAACAAACTCTGGACATCCCTTTTTCCATTTACCAATTACGGTTGAAAGTTTGTAGGACCTGAACCCATGGCTCTGATAGAGAATTGCATAAGGCCCATGATCTAGACCTAGAAGGGGGCGTAAATAGGTCTTGTTGGTTGGATTAGTTAAACTTATGCACTTTTTAAATTTAAACGAACAAAAAATTTAAATTTAAAATATAACTGAAAATTAGACCACTCATTCCATCATCCAAATCATGCAATCACCAAGTAAAGCAGTAAATAATGGAAACAAAGAATTTTTACATGGAACACGCAACGGGAAAAACTACGGGACCTAGTCAACATATATTCCGCCCTAGAGTAGTGTATATAGAGGCAAACGAGAGGCCTATAGAAAGTACGGTTTCTACTGTTTTAAACTGAAAAGTAAGCAGGATTTTTGCATGGCTCGATCAATCAAGGCGCTAGTCAACCGATTTACACAACTCCAGTGGCCCTCGATTAGTGACAGAGACAGGAGTTTATTTCAGGGAGGCATATTGAATTTAAGAAAAAAAAAAAAAATATTCAATCTAATAGTGCAACAGGACTATTAGATTACTAATCAATATAAATAGTACGTAATAATTCAAAAATAATTGCTGTAAAGAAAATTCAGTACATGAAATACAGACATTAAGGGTCCATCTAGCAACAGTTTCTATTTTGCATTTTCGAATTCATATGAAGCGGAAGCAATAATTATTTGTTGCGGTGTGATTTATTCTAAAACAAAAACATGTTTGGTAAATAAATTTGTTGCAAAATGTTTTATAAAAAAATGTTTGAATGATTTTTAAAAAATAGTATACATTATATTTGTTAAAAAAAAAAAAACTGTTTGTGTTAAATACCATCTACTATAAAAGCTTACGTTGTTGGAAAGGGTGTAACTTTAATATTTAAATCCTCTAACACGCCCCCTCACGTATGGCCTTCTTTTCGTCCAACACGTGTTTTTCAATTTTAATTATTAGGGTGACGATGAGGATACCATGTTGACAACCATCTACTCTAAAAGCTTAAGCCATTGGAGAGAGTGTAACTTTAATGTTTAAATCCTCTAACAAGTTGTTTAGCTATAATAGCAAAAATAAATGCAAATAACTTTGTTTTGCCTTCAGATTTGGGGCTTTTTTTCGAAACAGATGCAAGATTGTGGAAAACGTAACAAACGAGTTTTTGTGACTTGTTTATTTTTTTCATCTTACACGAAACAAAAAACTGCTTCCAAACAAGCCCCAAGTGTAAAAAATTTCAGTAATAAATTTAAAGAAGAAAAGAAAAATAAAAGAATAAGAAGAGAGAAAAGAAGTTTAATGCAGATACATCATGCATGTGCAGGAAGATGAATAAAATTTTTAAGAGAGAGAAGATCAGGGTTTGGTTGAAGGAAATAAAGAAAGAAAAGAAGAAGGAAAAGAAAGAAAGATTTAGAGAATTTTTTTTAAAAAGCATTTCTGTTTTTTGGAGGGGGGGATTTTTAAAAATTTTACAAAATTATATACATAAAGGTTTTTTTTAAAAAAAAAAAAAAACAAAAAAGCCCTGATGGATCGTTCAATTGATCAAAGTCGATTACAGTTTTATACTTATAAAAATTTAAGAAATGAAGTTTCAAAAAACACTTTTGCAAGCATATCTGATGGGAATTGATAATCAAACTAACAATGAAATCTTAGAAACCCAATACATGTATGATGAATCCTAACTAGGTGAGTGCATTAAAGCGTTAAATTACCTTTTTACCTTTGATGTTGAAGAGTCCTAACTAGGTGAGTGCATTAAAGCGTTAAATTACCTTTTTACCTAGATGAATCCTAACTTGTATGTAGCTTTAATTTCTTCTTCAACCATGAGCAATAAGTAACAACTAGCACTAACTTTTTAAATTTCTAATCTAACCTAGAAATCAAAAAACAAAAGTTACAGACTCCCAAGTCTTGTTCTGCAAAATTTGTCAACCTAAGTCCTATTGATGATGTAACAACAGTTTTTTTTTTTTTTTTTGGTGAGCGTGATTTTATTTAAGAAAAGATGCTATACAAGTTAGACAACAAGCAGCAACAAACGACCTCCAGCACAAGTAAAAATCGTTGGGACAGCAAAGCATAAAAAAGACAAAAACTAAAATTCCATAAAAAAGAACCACAGCTGAGGGTGGGCCATCTACTGCCTGACCCAAGCCGCAAATTGGCACCGAGCAAAGGCCAGAGTCACCACGGGAGACCAGACTTCAAAAAGTTGACCATACATGCTTCAAAAAGATTATTCCAATTTTTTTTTAAAAATTAAAGGTAATCTGCCACTCGAATGACAGAAATGCTCCTCCATAGTGTCCATAGTGTGATCTGGAGCACTGTGATTGATGGCTGAAACTAGATGATTAAGCAGCTGAGATGGTTGATGCCTTTAGATATTAATCCTAATTTATCAGTGACAGGAGTTCCAAATGAAGGGTTGTGACCAACAAGATTGGGATCCTGCAAATTCATCCAAGTCGGCCCCATAACCAACCATGTTTTCTAAGGTCTACAATCTCGCCTTTTGCCCTAATTTCATCCTACTTGAAGTAAGTAAAAATTCAAAATATGTCAAATAACACAAGATATTTCATAACCAAGGTCATGCCACGAGGCATGAGAAAAAAGAGAAACAAAAAAATCATGCATAGAGGTCTTGCCAATCACCAACACATTGCAACACATATTTATGGACTCTTAAGTCCTCAATAACATGGTTAAAAGAAACCATGACCAATTAACAGTAAAGAAATTTTAAGCCTCAGACTCATGTAATTTGAAATAAGCTGCAATGATCATATGATAGTTAATTCACCTGTTAAGTGCAACATACCTTATTATACCAGAACCACAGTCTCTGTCCCCAAAGTCTTTCTATCTTGCTTTCTGATAGATCAAGGACAGTAAGTTCCCGTGGACAAAAATTAGAAGGAAGAGTTTTCAGCAGACATTTTCTCCATTGTAGCCACTTCAGTTCAGCAGGTATATGTTTGAAATTTCCTTCTAGCTCTACATTACTGAATTGAAGCAGTCGTAGATTAACCATTGATTCAAATGACTTAGTGCAAAGTACCACCTGACCCTCATCCCGAGCATCATCTTGAAAGTATTCCTTGTATATCTCCTTCAAGTATGTTACTGCAGAGGTGAAATTGGGTGTTCTCCAAAGTTGGTTCCAAGAAATGCTTTTAGCAGTCTTAATCCTTGGAAAATTCTTCTTTTCGAAGTCTATAATGACCCCTTGGACGTTTTTAGTTCCCTAATGTCAATCATATGGAACTACTTAAATAAAATATAATAAATTTATAAGCTGATGCCACATAAATAAAAACAAGCAGCTAACATCAATCATATGAAACTAATCAAAATTAACAAAATTAGAAGCCAAAGTCAAGTGAAGTGACGCTAAAATTTAGAGCTTTATGGTATTTCAAGTGGGACGCTACAATAAATAATGCATGGCCAAATATTTTGACTGGAGGAAATACAACTGACACTCACTTTCCGGAAAATTTACTGAATAGTCCTACTTTTCAATTGAAAGGACCATTAAGTCCTATGAAATGTTATTAAGATAATTAAGTACTAGTTTTAATTAATATTTTTAACTAAGTTTAGAATTCCATTGGCAATAAAAAAAAGTTCTAATGTTGCCCTTTCTTAATTTTTTTTTTAACACAATGTTCTTTATTATTAAAATAAATTTTACAGAAAAATTCATAATACCTTGATGCATTTCTTATATAACTTATTCTCAAATTTACATAAATTTACATTTAGGAATTGAAATTACTTGTTCTATAAAATCTGAAGCAGAAAAAATATGAAAAAAAATTAGATGATTCATTGTTTATTCATTAATATACAGCATAAAAAAGTTATCGAATTTTTAAAACATGTAACAATAAGTTTCACCAAAAATAGTGAAATATAAAAAAATTGTAAGATAAAATTTTAAAATTTTCTATTTTTGGTGGCAATCAAAACTATATGCTTTCGTTCCTATTCTAAATTGATACTGTTTAAAAATTTAGATGTAAAAATTAGTATTCCTATAATGAAAGAATATTAAAAGTACTTCAATATGAAAGGGGAATAGTTTAACACAAAATTTGTTAATAGAATTTTGAAATTTGTTGGAAAAATTTATTAAAAGTATTATCCTAATAAATTTCATAGGAATTATTGGTCTTTGCAATTGAAAAATAGGAGTATAAGACTAATCATTATTTATCTTTTTTATTTCTTCATGTGATTCTTTTGAGCCAACCCCATCTAGTTGTGACAAGGCTTTGTTGCACAATTTTCCCTATTGGTTAATCATGTGCACTGCCAGCGCTATTTGCGCATGGCAAAGAGTTCTACCATTTTTACACCTTTTTCTTTTTTTAATTTTTTTTGGGGTGGCAGCAGGATTTTATTATATTATATGGACTTCGGTACGTATGTCGGGTGCGGGTTTGTATTTACATGCCGGACATATCAAAACCCCAAATAGGACACATGTACACTGCTAAATATTCATATTATTTCTATTTTGTTTTCTAGAGTGAATTAATGTATTTTTGTAACATAGAGTCCAATATAGACATTTCACTCATTTTGAAGCAATAATATAATAAAAATTGAATTACATAATATGATTTTTAATTGCATGTCCAACCAAAAGTGTCAAACACATATCTCATACCCACATCCGAGTATTGTGTCCGACACGGGTACTTCAACCACTTTGAAGAGTAAATGTAACATTGTGTGTAGGGGAAAAAAAAAATTAAACAGATGAAGGTGTCTCGTAAAAAAAACTGTGAGACCTATGTGTGTCACTTTACAGAACTGGAAGTTGGCTCAGAAAGCTGGTCAATGCTCAATCTAAGAGTTGCTTAAAATATATTTAAAGAAAAGATGAGGTTTTGAGCTAAGTACCATACCTTCTCATTTTTCAAGACGGTCAAAATTTCGCCATGAACCCACAATCTACTGCGCATACCAGGATCAAGGTTTTCTTCCTGCACAATTTGTCTTCCCATGTCTCTAATCTGATCATGCATCCACAAAGTATTGTCCTCATCAATCCTAATGAGAGATTTTGCTACGAGGAAATTGATTGCATTCTCTGCCTTAAAACCACAGCCTTTGAATATGTCAACCGCATCATTTCTTTCCATTCCCAGATTTAGAAATAAACACGCAATGTCGAGGAATATACACTTCATCTCGTCATCCAGCCAATCAAAACTTATCTTCAAGATACCTTGAAGATCGTGTGGACGATTCTGCTTCAGCTTTTGTAGAGCATCTTCCCATTCTTTTACTCTCCTTTTATCAAACAGAAAAGAACCAAACACTTCCAGAGCCAAAGGTAGTCCTCCAGTAAGAGACACAATTTGCAGGGACAGACTCAAAAATGTTTCCGTGGGATTCTCTCTTCTGAATGCATGATAACTGAATAGATTTAGTGACTCAGAAGAACCCAAGCTTTTCACCTCATATACCTCACTCACATGGTCAATAAGCAAGACATCTCTATCTCTTGTTGTGATAATGATTCTACTTCCTTCACAAAGCCATTCTCTCTTGCCAATTAAAGCATTAACTTGGCTTACATTATCTACATCATCTAAAACAACTAGAACACGCTTCTCATTCAATATCCGTTTGATTGCAATCTGAGCAGCATAATCATTATTTACAGAAGGCACTTGGGAAAGATCACTAAGAAGTTTGTTTTGAAGAGATATTTTACCATTTTTTTGTGAAGAAGTGTCTCTAACATTTGAAATGAAACTACGACGTTCAAAGTGACTGAAAAGTTTATTATAAAGTGCCTTGGCAAGGGTAGTCTTACCAATCCCACCTGTTCCATGAAGCCCCAAAACTCTGATGCCGTTGGATTTAACATCTAAGATTCTCATCAGTTCCTCTAAACGAAAATCAAGTCCCACAATATATGGAGCCATACCCACAGGATTATTGCTCAATTCACTCAAAACCTTTTTGACTAAAGATTGAATCAACTGTCGTTCTTCCCTGCCAATAAACATGATCATAAGTCCATAATAAATACAAAAAGGAGACATGTATAAGAAACTTTGACAATCAAATGCAGAGGGAGGACCAAGGTATGATGTGTATGTCAACATGAATGATAGTAATAATTATACTTAACGTGACCAAAATAACTCCACAACACATAGCAAATTTAGCAATTATGCAATCTTTAGGATTGAAGTTGGAATTTCTTAATGCTATGAGAGAACCACATGTGAAGAACGTACATCAAAACAATGTACACTTGTAATAGAAAATAGAAGTTCCATGTGAACAACACCATCTACATGTTTTTTCAATGTATACCAAGAAAAAGAAAGCATGCCTTTATATGGAGTCAATATTCTCATAACCGAGTAAATAATTTTTAAGTAAAACATATAGCAACTTACCAATTTGGACCTCCGTTCCTTTTCAACAATGTCTTGAACTATAATTAACCAAATTCTCTTTGGCTATATTTCACTAATCTATACCTTGCAACAAAAATAGCAAGGTATTAAACATTTTTCTATGATCTGCTTCAAATTTCTATGGAAAAATATGTGCATATGTGTGCTAGGAAAAAGCACCATGTGTTGGCATATTTTGTGAGCACAAGTGGTGCCATGGTCAATATTTGATGTCACTTCAGTGGAAGGTTTGCTTGAAGCTGTGATTGTAGATTGAAGACTGAGCCAAGGATCTTATCAACAAATTACTTCAACCTTCATCTATCACAATATAAAGAAGGTAAGTGACCTAAGAGACCATAGGATTCAGAGTAAATTAGGAAACTTGAAATAACTTGGAGTTAATTTAAAACTAATTAATTAGTTTTAATAGAATTATAAATTTAAAGGTTACTATTATTTCATTGGGAGTGAATTTGGATACTTTAACGTTGGATAGAAAACTTAGATTTCGAGTTTAATTTTAATATATATATATTAAAGTTGATTTTGGCAAGGATTTCAATTTGTAACAATGGACTGTGTGTCCTCAAACTATCATTCAAAATAAAATAAATAGAATATCGTGATAAATTAGACTCCATAAACTTTCCAACAATACATTATACGCCTAATTTCGAGTCTCTTTGACCCATCAATAAAGCATCCAGAGTCAGGCTATGTGCAGTAAATAAGCATTTGGGTTTGATAAATCATAGCTATCTTAAAAATAATTGTTTTGGCAGAACTATTCTTGAGTCTCCTAAGAAAAGGAAAAAAAAAGAAAAAAGAATCCAATTTAAAAGATAATATGAATTTCTCCCTGCCATGGAACTCATGAATCTCACTGCTTTTGTTGATGAAACAACCTGTTCTAAGAGTAAATCATCAAAACCCCTTGTTAGACTCTTTGAGCTCAAATTCTAGTGAATCATTATCTCTTAATGATGAATGTAGAGTGATTCAGAACCTGATAATGGTGAGATACAATATATATATATATATATATGGAACTTGAATGTGATTTCCTTAAGATTGATTTAGAAAAGTCTCAAGTCTTAGTTAGAGAGTTGAAAACTGAAAGAAAATCCCTCAAAGATATGGTCAAATCTTTAGAAATTGAAAGATGTCTCTCATAGATAAAGTGAATTTAATTGAGTTGTAAATGCCAAAAAATATCTTGAGTGCAAATTGCAAAAATCAAAAGAGACCATTCAACACTTCACAGGTGGGACAAAAAAAAATTAAACACACTTCTAGGGATAGGTAAACCTTTTGGAGATAAGAGTAGTTTGGGATTTGTTGGTAATTCTAACACACATTTTAAGACTTTACATTATTGTGGTAAAAAGGGTCACATAAAATATCAGTGTCATAACTGTTTTATCTTCGAGAAGAAAATTTCTAAATGCCGCAAGAAAGAAAAGAATCTACCAAAAAAAAAAAAAATGAGAGTCTTGGTTGATATTGTAAAGACCTAGGTGATGAAAATCTGAACTTAAATCAACTTAAAAGGCTTTAATAGGGGTACAAATACTGAAAGATGGAATAAATTTAAATCTTATAACAAATTCAATACTATGGCTCAATCTTGGGGGAGAACAGAAAATCTAAAGAATTCCAAAACTGTCAACTAGCATTTGAAATCTAACGCACCTTTAAAAAAGGTAAATAACAAGTTAGAAACTAATGCTACGTTTGGTATGTAGGAATGGAATGGAATGGAATGCCCATTCCAACCATTTATTTGTTTGGTATGCAACTTAAAATGGGAATAGCCATTCCATTGGAATGAAAATCCATTCCACAACTAAACCAATGGAATGGCAATTCCATTCCCAAGTAATTTATTTTAAAAAATCAACTTCCCAAAACACCCTCATAATCCAAGTCCAAAAACTACCATTACCTTCCACCACAATCATCTCGCATTTCACCACCACCACCACTACCACTGCCTTCCACCACCACCGACTTTCACCATCGCCCATTACTTTCCACCACCACCACCACCTTTCACCACCGCTACCGCCACCACCTTCCACCACCACCAATGCCATTGCCTTTCACCACCTTCCACCACTACCGCCGCCATCGCCTTTCACCACTGCCACCACCTTCCACCACCACCACTGCTACCGCCTTTCACTATCACCACCACCATCCACCGCCACAGCCCTATACCACCGTCACCGCCTTCCACCACCGCCAACGCCACCTTTTACCACCACCGCCGCCAACGCCGCCTTCAACAACCGCCAACGCCACAGTCATCGCCTTCCACCACCTTCTACCACCTTCCATCACCACCACCACCACCACCACCTTTCACCACCGCCACCGCCTTCCACCGCCACCGCTACCACCACCGCCGCCGCCTTCCACCACCACCACCATCGTCACCACCTTCCACCACCACCGCCACCACTGCCAATTCCACTGCCTTCCACCACCACCATAGTCACACCACTATCTCCTTCCACCACAACCACCACATCACTGCCACCACCTTCCACCAACACTGCTGCCACCTTCCACCACCACTGCTGCCACCAATTTCCACCATTTCCACCACCACCGCCTTCCAACACCACCACCTACATTACTACCGCTTTCCACCATCCACAACCACCGCTGCCACCATTTATTTTTAAAAAATTATTAGAGAATATCATTTTGTTAATTTAATTTATTTGTTTCTAGGAGGGATATTTTGGAGAATTCAATTAGAAATTTATTCCATTCTAAATTTTAAATTGATCCAATCAAACACTAGAATGGTTATTATCATTCCATTCCTACACATTTCACATTTCTAACCAAACAATAGAATGAGAATGACCATTCCATTCCATTCCCATTCTCATTCCATTCGCACTTGCATTTCATTCCATTCCTGCACACCAAACGTATCACCAAAAGAACCTTCTTTAAACTAAAAGACTCCACAACTACGATTAAAAAATTGCAGATTGCATTGGGACCTGTTTAAAGATTCCAATACATCACCTTATACAATACATAATATCAGAAATCCAAATTGAATTTTCATTCCACATTAATAATTTAATATACTAAACATCCAATGAAATGCACAAATCAAGAAATGGTCCAAAATTTTTAATTATCAATATATATATATATATACACACACACTAAAAATGTTACACACTTTTCAACCAAAATATAAAAGTGGGTCTAATTAACTTCTATAATCAGATGTCAACTGTAGAAGTCCACTCTCGTTCTCTACAACTCACAACAAACCTTTCAAATCACATATGATCCTATGCAGTTAAAAATATAGGATTGTCCATTTCCTTCTATAAATTTAACTTGAATTTCATGTATCAAAAGGACATAAAAGTGCAAAAATCGAATTTACCCAATTTAATCATATTCTTCTCTGTAGAATGATGAATAAAGGTTATTAGGGTTTTAATTAGGGTTTCTCTCTCTAGAAAACTGAAACGAATAGAGCAGAGGAAGTGTTGTTACCTGTCTTGCAGAACAAAACCGGCGATTCCACCGACCTTCCCCATATCTTTTCTCCATCTCGCAACCTTCTCGTGTCCGTACTGTTCTTCGAGACTTCTAAAGTCATCTTCGAACCGTCGCCCCTTCTGTCCCCGGACGTTCGACGGGTCGACTCGGCAGAACACGGGAAGAACAAGTCGCCGGAGCTCGCAGATGTCGGCAAGCTGCTCGAGGCACCGCCCGGAGGAGGCGTAGTTGGGGGAGAAGATGATGATTGAAACGGCCGAGTCTCCGATCGGACTCGGAGGGACGTCGTCCCCCTGAATCAACTCGTCGTTGCCTCGGAAAACTCGGACGCCTTTTCTGTCGAGTTCTGTGTAGAGTTGATCCGCGAAACTGTGTGTGTCTTCGTCGTCTATGAAGCTCAGAAACACGTCCCACCTGAGTCTGAACGCCTGAGTTGAACCGGAGATGGTATTGTTGTCCGCCATTTTCACTGCTAGTAGTTAGGTGAAGTTGCTATGTCTCAAAGCAACTTGTTGCATATATATATTTATACGTCGTACATACATTTGGTGCGAGACTTTAATTTTGTTGTTGCGTTGAACCCGAGGTCAAGCAACGAAGCACTTGTTTTACGGTTTTAAACTTTTAATATTTTGAAAATCAATTCGTTGCTGATTTGACACTTAACCTGCCACAAAAATTATTATTACTCATATTATAAATATTTATTCCGTTTTTTACTCACATCTTAATAGTTACATGCAAAATTGACACTATATAAATTAACTAAAATGATTAAATCTAAAATATCATTTGACTTTGTTAAAGAAATTCTTTAACTTACAAAATTAAATTAAAAGATTAAATTATCATTTTATACTTTACAATTTACAATTATAGTTGATTTGGACCAACGACTTCAGGAAGATCTTCCTTTCTGTAATTCGACGAAATCGAATGGCGAGAAGGAGGACAAGAAACATGATAAAGAAGATGACTTCCTTTAGATGATATAGATCGAGGTAGATCTAATGATTTTCTGAAATTCAGAAAAACATCACCATCTTGGTCCTGAATAACACAGTCTCAGAATCAAATTCCAAGAGGAGTTTACGAGAAAGCACCAATAGGCATGTCTCGTCGCCAATTTGGAATTGAATTCAGCCCAACTCCATCTGAAATGGGAATCGGAAATGAATCTGTCAAGGATCAATTTGATGATCCTGCAGACATAAATGACCCTCATGAATATTAGTTTTAATGGATTTTGTCCCAGATAGAATTGCCATTAATACTGAATTTCAACAGGATCAATATAAAGAATTCAGAAATTGGTATTTTAAAGCTTTTAATCAAAATCAACTACAGCTTTTTAAAACTCAATTTTATGACTTTCTCCAAGAACGCAAAATAGTTATACCTTTTGTTTCTTGGTTTTATATGACCAATCATTCCCTTGTTAATATAAACATATTGGATGATTTTTTCAAACCATGGACCACAACTGAAGATAAGGTTTATCACTATGTCCATCCTCCCACTGAACATCTAATTCTGAAAAGGATAGACCCTGACAGTGGTATCAAAGTGGAAACCAAGGCTTATAGCCAACCTAAAATAATTGATCCATCCTGTAATGCTACTAAGAAAGAAATTTCTCATGTTTACAGGCAGAACAATTATACTAATGTTTGCTTGCAAACGATAGGGTCCCAGCTTGGGAGAATTGAAACAGAAATCGACACGGTATTAAATACAATTAATACTAAGTGTATTACTGTTAAACCTTCTCCTCCAGAAGCTTCCTTATCCAAAGCATTGGTGAAACCTGCAATTGAAGTTCAAGGCTTCAATCTTACACATCCTAAGAAGAATGAAGAATTTCTTACTCTTCTTACTCAGAAAATTCAAGGACTTAAAATTCAGACTTTATCCCATGATGAATCTGAAATAGGTTCTGATTCTGATAATGTGTTTCCTCATATTGAGGTTTTCCAAACCGATTTTCCTCAGATGCCTGAGTTAAATAGGATTGTCTATGATAAGAATATCCACTCCAATACAGCCCCTGCTCCGAGTAGATATTATTATCCTAGACCCACACCTCAAGATATCTTGTATGAAGAAGATTATTTTCATACACAGAAATCTTTTCATGGCAAGACCATTTATGAATGGAACATAGATGGCAAATCTGATTATCAGATTTACGAGGTTATTCATCAAATGTTGATGTATAGTCAAGTTTGTAAAATCAACAACAACACTGACCCAACCATTGCTAAGTTTGTCGTTGCTGGTTTTACAGGAATCCTTAAAGGATGGTGGGATAATGTTCTCACTGAAGTTCAGAAAGCTGAAATCTTTTCTGCTACCAAGCTTGTTAAAGATGAAGCTACTCAACAAGCAGGACCTGCTCCTGATGCGGTTTACACCCTCATCACCACTATTATCCAACATTTTGTTGGCCCTGAAGGTGCTAATAGTGAACGGAGTCGTGAGCTTCTACAGAATCTAAGATGTCCATCTTTAACTCATTTTCGGTGGTATAAAGATGTCTTCTTGGCAAAGGTTCTCCAACTCAATGATGCAAATCATGAACATTGGAAAGCAAAATTTGTGGATGGTTTACCAACCTTTTTTGCTGAAAGAATCAGGAAAAAACTTAGAGATATGAATAATGGTATCTCTATCCCTTACAGAAACTATACCTATGGTGGATTAGTCAACATTGTAATCCAGGAAGGTCTAGCTCTCTGTAATGATCTGAAGTTACAATCCCAGTTAAAAGCACAAAGATTAACTGGTAGAAAGGAAGTAGGTGAATTTTGTGATCAATTTGCCTACCAAACTCCTTTATCTTATCCTAAACCTAGGAAAAGAAATAAGGTTGAAAAACCTTATAAAAGGAAGTATTCCAAAAGAAAGAATTGTTTAAAGGAAAAGGATAATTCTAGACAGTATACTAAGCCTAAAAGGAAATATATTCCTAAAGCAAAGGGTAAAGGAAAGCCCAAAGCTAAGGCTAAATGTTTCAAATGTGGACGTATCGGCCACTATGCAAACAAGTGCAGAACTAAGGAGAAACTCAGTAGTCTTCACATCGAAGATGAACTAAGACTTCAATTAAGTAAATTATTACTTAATACCAGTTCTTCTGAATCTGAATCATCAGATGATTATGGGGATGTTGTTATGGAATTACATTCTTCTTCTTCCTCTGAAGCAGAAATTGAAAATCCTAGATGTTCTTGTAATCCTTCTCATGATGATTATTATAAGGCCATTGTTGAGATGAATGGGTTAAGCTTAAATGTTTTGACTTCGACTCAACAATCCTTATTGGATCTTATAGATCATATCCAGGATCCTCAAATCAAGATGAAAGTCTTTGAAATAGGTTCTGCTCTGGCACGATCTAATGAGGATTCGGATAATCCAGATTTTCTGAGAGCAGAAAATCATTACAGCATGAAAGAAGTTCTAAGCAGATTAGAACACCAAGGACAAAGTTCACGTCCTGCTAATCTCCCTAATCTCAGAATGGAGATTAATCTTTTAAAAGAAGAAATTCGTCAATTAAAGTCTCGTCAGACTAAGATGGATTTGGAAATTACTCTTTTAAAAGCAAAATCTGCAATTACACCTTCATCATCCCAGGATGAAATCCCTCAATCAGAAGGTACTAATTATCTTCAACTCTTGAATCAAGTTACTTACCAAAAATGGTATATATCTATCAATTTGGTAATTAATCAGGAGTACACAATCACTAATGCAATTGCCTTAGTTGATAGTGGTGCAGACATGAACTGCATACAGGAAGGATTGGTTCCTACTCAATATTTTGAGAAAACCACTCAAGGTCTTACCAGTGCAAGTGGAGGTAAGATGCAGATTAAGTATAAACTTAATCTGCATCTTCATTTGTAAAGAAGGTATTTGTTTACCATCTACTTTCTTACTCATCAGAAATATGGCACAACAAGTTATTTTGGGTACTCCCTTTTTAGCTTTAATCATGCCAATTGAGAAAATTGATTCTCATGGAATATGCTCTAATTTACATGGCCAGTCAATTACTTTCCAGTTCTTGACCCCACCAGTAAATAAGCATATCAATGCTCTTAAAGATAACATTATCTTTAAGGAAAAGCAACTGAATTATTTGCAAAAGGAGGTATCCTCCTTAGCAATTAATCAAAGATTGGTACAACCCACTGAGCAACAGAAAATTGAGTCACTACGACAAAATTTTCTAAATGAAATCTGTAGTGAGATTCCTAATGCTTTTTGGGCCAGAAAGAAGCATATTGTTTCTTTACCCTATGAAAAGGGATTTACCGATCGCATGATTCCTTCTAAAGCTAGTCCCAGCCACATGAAAGCTGACTACTTGGAATTATGTAAAACTGAAATCAGCTCTTTAATGGCAAAGAAGCTTGTCACTACTAGCTACTCCCCCTGGAGTTGCAGAGCTTTTTATGTCAATAAAAATGCTGAAAAAGAACGAGGAATTCCTCGATTGGTTATTGATTATCGGCCACTCAATCTTGCTTTGAGTTGGATCCGATACCCAATTCCCAACATCAAAGATCTTTTAGATAGGTTACAATCTGCTGTAATCTTTTCTAAATTTGATCTTAAATCTGGATATTACCAGGTACAGATTGCAGAAGAAGACAGGTACAAAACAGTTTTTTGCGTACCTTTTGGACAGTATGAATGGACAGTGATGCCATTTGGATTAAAAAATGCCCCTTCAGAATTTCAACATATTTTGAATGACATATTTAATCCTTTTACTGAATTTTCTATAGTTTATATTGATGATATTCTCATATTTTCCAAATCAATCGATCAGCATTATAAACACTTGAAAATTTTCAAACATGTTATTTACCGAAGTGGTTTAGTAATTTCTGCTCCTAAACTAAAACTGTTTTTAACTAAGGTCAGATTTCTTGGTCATGAAATTTGTGATGGGAAAATTAGACCTATTAATCACAGTATTGAGTTTGCTTTTAAATTTCCAGATGAAATTAAGGATAAAACTCAGCTTCAAAGGTTTCTGGGTAGTTTGAATTATATTCGAAATCACTACAGAGATCTTGCACAGGATACAGCAATTTTGTACACCAGGTTAAGGAAATCTCCTTCCCCATGGACTTTGGAACACACCAAGGCAGTCCAGAAGATTAAACTCAGAGCAAAACAAATTCCTTGTTTAGCCCTAGCTAATTCTTCATGGTTCAAATTTGTGGAAACAGATGCATCCAATATTGGATATGGTGGTATTCTTAAACAAAAGAATCCAAATACAGGAACAGAGGAGCTTGTTCGCTTCACTTCAGGAACTTGGAAAAATGCACAATTAAATTATTCAACCATCAAAAAGGAAATTCTTTCTTTGGTTAAATGCATTTATAAATTCCAAGATAATTTAATCAATCAGAAATTCTTGTTACGCATTGATTGTAGTGCTGCTAAACAAGTACTGGAAAAAGATGTAAAGAATTTAGTTTCCAAACAGATATTTGCTGGTTGGCAAGCTGATTTATCTGCTTTTGATTTTT